AGGGGGGTCTCCATCCCCCACCCTAGGCCTTTAGTATATGTCCCATGCCACCTGGGGGGGGGCAGCTTCTCCAGAGATAGTGCCTGGTGAATATTTGCTGGTCTCAAGTAAATGGCTTCTTATTGTTAGTGTGGTACTTGGAACCGTGAGAGAGACCACTTGGAGGTGGAACAAGAAAACACAAAACAACACAGAGAGTTGTAAGACATTTGGCATTTGGCAGAAAGGACTAAACACCCTGCATTTCCAGGTAGTCGCAAATCCAATTACATACTATTATTGGAAAAACCCTTAAATATGGTCACCAAGAAATGTTGCCAGGGAATTCCTGAGAGATGTGACACCAGAATTGGAGGAAGACTTATTAAAAACTTGTGTTATGCAGATGACAAAACTTTCCTTGATGAAACCGAAGAGAATCTGAAGCATTTGTGGCGGCTCAAGGACTGTAGTCTACAATACGGATTAAAGCTCAACATTAAAAAAACAAAGATTTCCCCCTCTGTGCCAACTGGCAGCACCATGATACATGGAGAATAGATTAAGGTTGTTAACATATTCACTTGTTTGGGGCTACAATCAATACTCTTGGAACCAGCTGCAAGCAAATCAAAAGACAAATTGCATTGGGAAAGTCTGTTGCCAGAGACCTCTCCAGAGTGCTGATGAGCAAAAATGTCAGTCTAGGAACCAAGGTGCGCTTGATCCAGGCCATGGTCTTTGAAATTACTTGCTATGCATCAGAGAGCTGGACAATAACTAAGGATGACAGAAGAACTGATGCCTTTGAGTTGTGGTGCTGGAAGAATCTTGAACATATCATGGTGGGCCAAGAGAACAAACAGGTCTGTCCTGGACAGGGTGAAACCAAGTTACTCTCTGGAGGCAAGGATTTTGAAGCTCCATCTCACATACTTTGGAGCATGTTGCCAAGAGGGACATATCCTTGGAAAAGGACATCATGCTTGGAAAAGTGGAGGGACAATGCAGGAGAGAAAAACCCTGGATGATTTTTTGATATGCTCTAGAGGTCTGTAGGTATCAGACTTTTAGGATGGCAGCTGCCTCTAAGGACCAATAGGGGTCAGTATTGTGTGTTTTCTGGTTTGCGGTTGAGTCTAGGGTGTGGCTTTTGTTCACAACAGGGAGAGAGGTGATTGAATATTTAAAAAGGCTTTTGGACCCTCCGGACTGCTTTTTGTGGATCTCCCAAATAAAACAGGCTTGGATGCAGGAGTGGCATCCACTTCCAAAATAAGCTTGCCTCTAGAAACTCTATGAACTTGAAGATGAAAGTTGTGTGTTCAAGACTTTCATTCGTAGGGTTGCTATGGGTCATCTCCGACTCGATGGCACTTAACAACAACAACAACTGTAATCTAAGGTCATACTTCCCTGAACACATTTAATCTTGTCTGATTTGGAAGCTGAAGTCTAGCCTGCTTCTTACTTGGACGGTAGATTGCCTTAAAAATATTGGGTGCTTTGCCTTCTTCCTAAATGCCAAAATGTCTCTCCTGAGCCATCTAGTGGCCATCTCTTCCTAAATACTGACTCGGTGTCTTTGTCCTATCCACAGGGACATTTTCCTATGATGTAGTCACCATACAACCTTCAGAATCAGGAAATGGTGACTTATTAAAACGACAGTAGATTTCAATGTATAACAGTCCCACATGTCACAGATCTTGAGATAATGCAGTGTATGGCAAGGTTCAGGTCTGTTGTTCATAAGGTTGAAATGAGTCCTAATTGACTAAATGGCACATGACAACAGAGGCACAGGGGTGAAGAAGAGCTCTACTGTTAATGGAAAGATGGCGGTTTAACCTCTCGGCTGCTCCAAAGGAGAAAGCAGCAGCAGTTGCTTTCAGTCATGATTACAGCCTTGGAAGTCCTGTTGTCACCCTAATGGTCTCCAAGGGTTAGAATCTACTCAACAGTGTTACTTTGCTCTCAAGCTCATTTCCATGGAGTTGGAGCTGATCCATAGCTGAGCCTCCCTCCAGTTTCTACGTTGTAAATCTCACATTGGAGATGATCTGTCTTTCTCTTATGGATTTGAACTCCCTGCCTTCAGGATGGCAGTGCAACCTCTTACTCACTTGGTGAGTAGAACCTTTCAACAACCTGCCATTATGCAGATGACACAACTCTGCTTGCTGAAACTGAGGAGGACCTGAGTGCTTGCTGCAGAGGTCAAGGACTGCAGGCTTCAATGCGGATTGAAGCTCAACATCAAGAAAACAAAGATTCTCACCACTGGGCCAATTGGCATCATCAGTATGGATGGCGAAGAGATTGAGATAGTTAACAGTTTTTGTTTACTTGGTTCCACAGTCAACACTCTTGGTACCAGCAGCCAGGAAATCAGGAGATGAATTGCATTGGGAAAGTCAGCTGTGAGGGACCTCTCAAGAGTACTGAAGAGCAACGTCAGGTTGCAGACTAAGGTGCGCCTGATCTGGGCTATAGTCTTGCCATGTATGTGCCATGCATCAGAGTTGGACAGTGAATAGGGATGATAGAGAATCAATGATGCCTTTGAGCTGTGGTGCTGGAGAAGTGTTGAGAATACCATGGCCTGCTAGGAGAACAAACAGGTTTGTCCTGGAAGGGTGAAGCCAGAATGCTCTTGGAGTCAAAGATTCTGAAGCTTCATCTGATATACTTTGGGCATGTTGCAAGGAGGGACTGGTCCTTGGAGAGAGACATCATGTTTGGCAGAGTGGAGGAACAGCACAGGAGAGGAAGACCCTCAATGAGATGGATCGAATCTGTGAGTGGAGTGGTGGGAATGAGTGTGTCAGAGATGGCGAGGATAGAGCAGGGTTTAGGACTCTTGTACATAGGGTTGCTATGAGTCGCAAGTGACTCAATGGCACATAACATCAACAAAGTTTATATTCAGTGTAATGGATCAACACAGTGGTTGCATCCATGGGTTCAAACATAATTGTGAGGATGGTACAGTGTTTCATTGTTATATGTCGGGTCATTGAGGCAGCATCAACTTGACAGTTCCTAAAACACATTTCATTTCTGTGTAATTCTTTAGAACCTAGTGACTTGATTTCTCATATGCACTTTCAACAAATGCTTAACATGTATCTTTGTATTAACAGAAATAACCAACTAGTCTTGATTATGTTTCTAAAGTTTGATTATTCTTTCTTAAAGGAATACACTTGGTATGTACAAAGAGATTATTTTGTTCACCAACTTAGATTTCTGAATCTGACCAAGAGAAAATATTTTGATCTGCACTCAACATGTGACACTTACGTCCCCTTCCTCAACTATTTTCAGATAAAATATCGTTTGAATTTTTAGAGGCTGTTTATTGTTACATGTCATCATTTTTTCAATTCATAGTGATACTGTGTGACTGACTGGGGCTACCTCATGGGTTTTCTAGACTAGAACATTTACAGAAGGAGCCATGGTGGCACAGTGGTTAATAGAAGGTCAGTAGTTTGAACACACCAGCTGTACCAAGGGATAACTATGTGATGGTTTGCTTCAGTAAATATATAGCCTTGAAAATCGAAGTGGCATTCTCCGCTGTCCTGCATGCTCACGATGAACTGCAATTAACAGCGATGAGTTTAGCCCTTACAAAAAGCAGCTCAGAAAGTCTTTCTGCCATGGGGGGCCCTGGGTGAGCTGCTAGAAACTAGCCAGTCATGATGAACAGGGTTGGAGTGATGAGGAGTGTGGATTAAAGAAATACATTACACAAGGGATAGGTTAGGAGAGGCATAATCTCACATTGTAGCCCCAAGTTTATTCTCTCCTGTCCTTTTAGGTCCTCTTTTTGCAGTGAACAGAAAAACAGCCCTGACAATACATTCCATTCTTATTTATGAGCCACCTGCTAGCTCAGCCAGGCAAGCAAGGCTGTTCGCTCTTCTTAGCAGCAGAAAAGGCCATAAGAATTTGAGTATAAACAGAGTCTGTAGGGAGTGACACTCCATTCTCTACTTCCGCGCTAACATTGGGTTCAAGAAATGGTCAAACCTGTCTTTGCTTCCCTTCAAACATCAAACCACAATGATAAAAAGCTCTGCACTTTTGAACCTGGCATAAAATGACAATTTGCATAAAATGGCTGCAGTGTGGCTCCAGACAGTGAGCTTTAACGGCCACCTTTTTAGCTAAAGCTGAACTCTCAATTGTTTGCATGACCTGGGTTCCTTTATTATGTTCACTCTATTTGGTTCAATAGTTAAGAATGATCACTGATCTGGATTTAAGATATTGGACTTCTACTCTTAGCTTGTTCTACAAATTAGCTCTGTAATGATCATTAATTCTAACTCTTCTGAGTTTACTCCTTCATTCTACAGCTAAATCCCTAGTAGAAGTAAAGTAGTATGTTAAACAATGGCACTCTATTCAAAAGGGATACATGAATGGGTATTCCTGTCATTACAGAAGTCCAGAGTGAAGGTTGCATAGTGGAGTGGAGTTGGGAGTGGGGGGAGGGAGGGATTGCATAAGAATGAAAGAGTTTTTCTTTCTTCTCAAGGAAAAGAGTGAATTGGTGGGTAGGGGGTGGGTAGGGAGAAAAGTGCAAAAATGAATGACTGGAAACCCTAAATCTCTATAAACTTTCATTAAAATTAATCAAAAAAATTTTTTTAAAAAAATACCCAATAATAAACCCCCTGAAAACAATGGTGCTCTAACAATGAATGAGACAGTCCCTGCTTTTAGAGGCTTAATATCTAGAAGGCTGAGAAGCATGTGCTAAACCACCATTAAATCCTCTCTACTCCACTGTTAATACGGAATTACATTCATAATCTGTGACCTGAGGTCATTAGAGGATTTTCAAATGACCTCAAAAGCTTTAAAGCTATCCCATGTGAACCCTGGTCAAAGAATTTTTTAAACCAGAAGTAGGTTTTAGGTATTTATTTAGGTGATTTCACTTACAGAGTGAAACACTTTCAGCATTATGAAATCATCTTTCTTCCTTCTTGCAATTTGATTTATTAGAACATTTATGATTCTGAAGTGCTTCTAGCTCTTCAAGCATTCAGGTATTTTGCATGGTGTCGGATGTGATCACTAATGAAGGTTGCAATGAAATAGTAGCTGTGATCATAACCCTAGAAGACAAAAATACAGAGAAATTAAGGCATTTGTTTACCATTTAGAATACCATTTAGAAATATCAATACAAAGACTTTAAATATACCTCTCACATCACTTTTCTCATAAAATGGTCACAGTATTACAATATGAATAAAGTTAATAATAAAAATCAAAGTTGTTTTATCTGCACTTGAACGTTTTAAATTTATGTTAAGAGAAGCAAAACTGAGCACACAGTATTATGCTTAATCCAGTTTCTCAACACTGCCATTAATAAGCAAAGAAGAAACTTTATTCCCACTCCCACATACTATGATAACTTTCATCTTTCTTTGAGGAGAAAGGAGTAAGTAATTAAACATGGCATCTTTTGGCAATATACCCACTTTGGCGAAAAAATAACAAATCCTTTTGAAAACCACCATGAAACAAACTGTAAAGTTGCAAGTTTCAACTTGAAACAGAGCTCAATCCATCTGATGACTTATAATCATGAGTACAGAGAAGAAGAGGGGTGATCTGTGTGTGGCGTGACTGCCCTTTCCTCTGAGCACAAGACAAGGGAATGCAGCTTAAAAAGAAAAATGAAGGTCTAAAGAACTTTCTAAGAATGTTAAACAGCAGATAATTCCTGGGATTTACCTGCTCCCCTCCCAACATACACACCCACTCATTACTGTCAAACTGGAACCAACTCCTAGCTGACCCTCCTCAGGTCACTAAGCACGGGAGGAGACTTCTCATCTTTCCCCTTCAGAGCCACTGGTGGATTCAAACCACTGGAGGCACTGCCATTGGATTGGCAGTGTAATTCCCTGTGCACTATGCCACCAGACCTCTGTTAAAACCAAGGTGGAATAAAGTAAAAGAAAGAAAAAGTCCAAAATTTCTCTCACTTCACACCCAATTTTCAGGTATGAGGGTGGGAGGCAGAAAGGGAGCAGTAGTATCCAGAAGGGAATTTTTCCAAGTACTTATATATAAAAAGAAACCAAATAAAATTAGTGTTTAAGAAGGGGCAAGGTGCATCCCAGTCTCTTCACATAAAACAAGCCTCGCTGTCCTCTGACTCTCCTCTGGGACAGTGACCTCCTCTGGGTTTTCATGGCAGTAAATCTTTACAGGAGACTGCTCATCTTTCTCCCACGGGTGCCTTGTAGGTGAAAACTTCCAATGTCATGTTAGCAGTCTTATATGTGGTACACTATGCTTCTTGGGAATGGTGTTGTCAGGTGCTGTCAAGTTGAGTATGATTCACAGCAACCCTATAAACAACTGTACCCTGTCCTAAGCCATTTCATGATAGCAGTTCATAGTTCATTTTTAAAGACATCAGAAATAATTTTAAAAAACTTGCTGTTCTCTCTGGACAAATCACAAATATAAATCTGACAGGAGTACCATCAAGGTGAAGGCTATACCTTGGAACGGTTTGGTTTCACACTTCTCTATAATTAAGAGTCTGGTTTGGACCTCAGCTGATTAGGTAAATTTAGAGCTAAAGGACAATGTCTTATACAAAGAAAGAAAAGTATTGTTTGACTATATAATTTTTGGACTCTTAGAAGTTAAACAAGACTGATTTTAATCCACAAAACCTGTGAAGTACAGTAGTGTATAAACAGCTCTCCCACAAGAAAAGCTAAAAAAACATGCTACCATCTAGTCAATTTCAAGTCATATCAACCTTAAATATATAGAACAGAACTGAATAGACTATTTTAGCTTGTTCATGTGCATCAGCTCCCAAAGTGACATCTTTGCTTTTTAATTACAGGCAAGACAAAATATTTTCAATTGCCTCAAATGTCTGTGAGACTGGAAAATAAGAAATATGAAGAATATGAAAAATACCATGCACTATCAGAAGATTCCTCATTCATTTGCTAATTTGCTGTACTGTGGTGGCTTCTGTATTGCTGGAAGCCATACCACCTGTATTTAAAAAATATCAGGAGGGTTACTCATGGTGAACAGGTTTTAGCAGAGCTTCTAGACCACAGCAGACTAGAAGTAGGATTGGTCATCTACTTCTGAAATAGGCCAACAATAAAAATCTTATCCGTAACAACAGAATGTTTGATATGGTGATAGAAGCTGAAGGCCTTATGTTGGAAGGGACTTGGAATACAACTAGAGAAAAGCTGCCTTCTCAAGAGTCGAGTCTGCCTTAATGATACAGATGGAGTAAAGCTGTTGATGAAGAACTATGCCACCAGACCTCTGTTAAAAACAAGGTGGAATAAAGTAAAAGAAAGAAAAAGTCCAAAATTTCTCTCACTTCACACCCAATTTTCAGGTATGAGGGTGGGAGGCAGAAAGGGAATATTTCACAATAAAGACAAACAGCTGCAAACACCCTTGTTAAAATACGATCAGAATGTATGTATAGTGTACTAAGTACAAAGTAGAAAAACTGGAAATTGACAAAAATAAATGAACACGTAAACTAGGTATCCTCGGTAAGGCGAGCTGAAGTGGACTGGCATTGGTATTTTAAGAACTTTCCTAAAAAACAATGTTGTCAGTGACAGGATACTATCCATATGCATATAAGGAAGAACTGGTAATATGACTCTTCCTCGTATTTACCCACTAACCACTGAAGCCAAAGATTAATAAACTGACAATTTCTTAAGTTTATGTGAAGAGGAAAGAGAACTTGAAGAACCAAAACACTTCTGAATAACAAAAATGAAGTGGGAGGCATAACACTCTCTGACTTCAATACCTACTACACAGCAGTAATAACCAAAACAGCATGGTCTGGCACAAGGACAAACACACAGAACAATGAAACAGAATCAAGAATCCAGAAATGGACCTAGCTATATGTGGTCAACTGGTATTAGAAAAGTAAATAAAACCTGTCAAATGGAGAAATGACAATCTTTTTGACAAATGGTAAAACTAGACTGCTACTGGTAGAGAGTGGAAACAGGATCCACAACTCACACTACACACAAAAATCAACTCAAGGTAGATCAGAGAGACCTGGGAGTAAAGTCCAAAACAATAAAAATAAAATTCCTAAGAGACAAACTGGGACCAAGTTTAGACGGCCCAGTTTATGATATAAAGAGGCTGACAAATACAGCTAGAAATGCCTAATTTAAAGATTAAATCATTATGCACATAAAAAACTTTTTCCAATAAGGTGAGAAGAAAACCTACTGACTGGGAAAAAAACCCCCACATTTAGCAATACCATCTCAGACAAGGGTCTTATAACAAAAGTTTACAGAATAATATAAGGCCTTCAGAAGAAAAAGACATAATCCAATTACAAAATGGGCAAACGAGATTTAAAGACTTTTCACAGAGTAAGACATTTGGATGGCCAACAGACCTATGAAGAAATGCTCAAAATCACTGGTAAGCAGAGAGATGCAAATCAAAACTACAATGAGGTACTAACAAGATAACATTTCACCCCAGTATATTAGGGCACAAGTAAAAAAATTTTGGAGACTGGAGAGGTGGGAACTCTCATACAACAAATGGTACAATCACTCTGGAAGGCAGTTTGGCATTTCCTAAAAAGGATGAATACAGAAACTCTGTATGGCCCAGCTATTCTACCACTAGGAATAAACCCTAAGGAAATTAGAACTGAGACACAAATGGAGATTTGTACACTAATGTTCACCAGTGTTATTCCAAGTGTTATTTGAAAAACATGGAAACAGCCCAAATGTCCAACCACCACCAAATGGATTGAGAAATTGTGGTGCAATCACATAACGGAATACTATGCAGCACTCAGGAGCAAGGATTTAAAAAAAAATACTACATAACTTGGGATAGAATTATGTTGAGTGAACTAACTCAGTTACATAAAGAAAATTTTGCATAAGACAGTACTGTAAAAATAGAAGGATAACTAGAAAACATCTATGGGGATCTAAAGGGAGAAGAAGTGGGGGCATAGGGGTGAAGATGGGCAGGGGGGAACCACAGGGTTGCACAATTTGGTGGGTAGAGAGGGGGAGATAAATGGGAAAGATCCGGTGGGGACCTGAAAAGACAGGATAATGGTGGATAGAGTCCAACTGTGATTAATTTTATAAAACATAATGAATGGGAATGACTGTATGAAACACTATGTGAATGAAGAATAGTGTGAAACACAATGTATACAAACTTTGTAAGCAAACCAATAAAAAAAAATTTTTAAGAAATCGATGATTTCTACCAAATTGTGCAGTCTGAAATTTATTACAATCTAATTAAGAAGCACTGATTATAGGTAATATGTACTGTGACACAAATGCAAAAGTCATGGAATGCAGAAGTTGGAAACAACAACTGGTAGTTTGAAAATATTGTGTTAGTAAAGAAACGAGGCTGGAGATCACATGACAGAACTTCTTAAGACCAATTATTTATGCACTGTAAATAGAATCTTTAAAGACAAAATGATTAATTTTACAGGTGACTCTCACTGGTTGGAATATGCAAGAATCAAATCAACTATATTTGTGGAAAGAGGCAGTGGATACATCTGATATCATCAAGGCACCAAGTGTGGAACAGACGTTCAAGCTGAAGCAAATTAAAACAAGTCCATGCAAACCAAAATACAGCTAAGTATATCCAACTTAAATTTCAAGACCATCTCAAGAACAGATGATGAATAGATGTGATACATTGGACACTGATGACTGAAGATCAGACTGAGCTGGGGAGGACATTGGCCAAGATGAAATCAAAAGGCCATTAAAAAACAAGAAATAAAAAATGGATATCAGAATAGACCTGAAAATTTGCTCTTGAGTCCAGAGAAACACAAACGAATGGAAAAAAATAATGAAGACTACGAAATTGGCTCTAGAGCTGAGAGAAGCGAATACGAAAGGAAGAATAATAATGAAGAAAGTGGAACAGAACATTTCCAAGGGGGAGGCTTTTTGAAGGTGAAGCAAAGACCTAGAGTTAAAAAACCAAGCAGTAAAGACACACATTCTGTCAAGTGACAAAAACGGGAAAAAAAAAAAACCAAACAAACAAACAAACAAAAAAAACCACAAACAAAAAAAAACAAAACAAACCAAACAAAAAAAAAATATATATATCCTCATGTTGTAACGCTGAAGCAGGAGTGGCATCCACTTCTGAAGTATCGTGCCTTCATAAACTCTATGAGCTTAGAGAAATGATTAAAGTTATACAAGTGTTCAGGTCTCTCATTCATAGAGTTGCTATGAGTTGTCTACAAGTCAATGGCAATTAACAACAACAGCAACAAGTTGTAATACAGAAGATTCTTTGGGAAAAATAGTGAATGAATGATGCTAGAAGCATCAAGAGATGAGTCCCTGTACCAAAAAGAACAGGCTGATTGTTTCAGGAGGTAGCACATGATCAAGAACAAAGCTGCACCGAAGGCACTGTGAAAACAAAAGGTCTAGGAATAGATAGAATACCAACTAAGCTGTGTCAAGAAACAGACGCTGCATTGGATATGCTCAGCTGTCTGGGCCAAGGAAGTTAGAGGACATGGACAATGGTTATCACTGGGATCCAAGACAAATCTTTTAAAATGTCCATAGGAAGGCAACAACATATTTGAACTATTAACATTCAGGGAAACAGCAAACGGTATAGTTATATAATTAGAGCTGATTTAAGATAATTTGTGCCTCTCTTGACTGGTTTTCACATTCTACTTATCCATCATTTTACTAAATGGGATAGCTCCTTTCATTAAATGACTAATGAGTTGTTATGTTAAGCAGCTTGTATGATGGACTAGATAAACACCTTTAGTGCTACTTGAAGAAGCCTTAGTTTCATCCTGTATCTCACATTTAAAATAAGATCCTTAGTAGCACACTTCCTACTTACAGTATAAAAATATATGAACATAGTTATTTTACTTCTGCTCACAAACAAGAAGCAGTGTTCTAGGAGTGATGGGGGATATTTATTCAAATTAGTAGGGGTTCTGGTATTAAATTAGAACAGGAAATTATTCTAATTGGTAGTTTTCCCCTATTCAATTAGTATTCTATTCAGTATTTTCTAGATTCAATCTGTAAAGGTCAGATATTTATGTTAATATGTCTTTTCACAGTAAAAGAAAGAGGATTGCTGAAAAGTGTTTATTTAAACACTTACCAAGGGTCTGTGTGCTAGGTCATTTTGCTAAGCACGGGAATACAGAGATGAGCAAGACATGCATACAGAGGCCAAAACAGTCTCTGGATCTTCAAGAGATTTGGGAGTTCAGGAGGTGTTTAACCTTTCTTTCAATAGTTTCCAGGAACTGAATCTTGTTTCTCGAAATTTCCTCAAGACTAACTACTGAAAATTTTCCCTTACTATGCTCTGGTAGCCTAGAGGTAAGAAGCTACGCTGCAATTCCATAGGCACACAGTTTGAGGCCATCGGCTGCTTTCTCTGTGAAAGAAGGATAGGCAATCTCCTGTTGCGTGATCACTGTCTCTGAAAACCTGCCAGAGAGTCAGCTACAGGTCACTTCCTATTCTATGATACACAACAATAATGTACCTTAAAAGGGAATCCTGATGGTGCACTCTGTAGGGAGTTGCACTGACAAACCAAAGGCTTTGCTGGTCCAAATCCACCAGGAGCCCCATGGGAGGAAGAGGGATTATCTTCTCCCAAGCAATTTACAGCCTCTCAAACACCTGCTGGAGGGTCAACTATGAACCTGTTCTGACTCAACGGCAATGAGTGAGTAGGGAGGGATGAACCTTGAGTAATTAAAACAAAGACATGATCTTCCTTTTAGACAAAGATTTTGAGTTTTCCTACACTATCTCTCGTAATCAAAAGGGAACTTCCAGGAATTCAAGCCAGAGTCAAAAGAGGATTTGAAAGAAAGGATGTCGCTGCTGACATCAGATGGATCCTGGCTGAAAACAAAGAGTACCAGAACAACTTCACTTATTCAATTTTGGATAACAGCAAATTATGGCTAACATAGTGAAGATTGGGAACAACAAAACATTTAATGGTGCTCAGTGGACACTTGTATATAAACTTCTGAGTTAAACAGAAGAAGATACTGTATGGTTTAAAATTAGGAAAGCAGTACATCAGAGTTGTAGCCTTTCACCATTCTTATTTAATCTGTATGCTGAGCCAATAATCCAAGAAGATGGACAATATGAAAAAAAGAATGTGGCATCACAAGTAGAGGAACACTCAGTGACAACCCGTATGTGCAGGGAAGGCCACCTTGCTCGTCAAACATGAGGAAGACTTAAAGTATTACTGACAAAGGGCAAAGATGCCATTCTTCATTTAAAGAACACATGTCAATATAAATAAACAAAAGTCCCCACAACTGGAGCAATAAGCAACATCATGATAAATGGAGAAAAGGTGTCAAGAATGTCTGTCTTTATGTATTCCATTTCATTTTTGACAACTTATGGTTTTCCTATAGTTACACTTTGTACTTTCTACATTCCACTGACTAGCAGATATTTCTTCTCATTTTTTAGTGACTTTCCACATCTAATATTATAGGTACCTGTGTTCTTCTATGTTTGCAGGATTTTCAAAGGCCTGTTACATCAGAACTGGATGGCCAATCCTGCTTCCTAATCAGTGATGAAGAAGCCTGTCTCACATACTTTGGCTATGTTGTCAGGAGGGGCGATATTTACAACAACAAGTTCCTTGAGATTAACTTGAAGATGAGGGAGTCACTGCTGTGAAAATATTTTTGTAAATGGAAATTTAACATATTACACATCGTTCTATATTAACTTGAATATTTACCATTATAATCACATTTTAGATCAAGGTGTCTGACATACTACGCTTAAGCACAAATATAAATGTAAAATAACCAGTCAAGCATAATTAATTTTCCACCCTGAAATTAAGACTTTGTTTATATATGCTCCAAAGGTTATAACTAACTAAAAAAAAAAAAAAAGAGAAAAACTTAAAGTGTATCTTACTGGGGAGCTCTTAAGGGCAAAGTCTGAGGTGAGTTTCACACTAACCCAAAGCTGCTGTGTCTCCAGCAGTTCAAATTCACCAGCAGCTTCAAGACTTTCTAAAAATATGAGAGGAGATGCAGTCTCCCTCTTATGATTTACTGCCATGGAAACTCAACATAGGGTCCTGGTGGGTCAGAACTGACTTGACGGCAGTTGAGTATTTTTTTTTTTAAAGTATTAGAGGTAACATTTCAAGTTCTGAACCGAAGGTGAGTATTATGGAGTCTTGTAACACTAAATTTAAGATAGTTTCTCAGTACTTGCCTCTTGCAATCTAAAAACAACAGGGATTTTCTTTTCTGTGCAGGCAGCTATGAAGTTATCGGGAAGTAACTGGCCATCTGCAAGGAACTGGTCATCTTTTCCTTGATCAATCAGTATGTCCAACTGAGAACCTGGATAGGACTTCACAAGATGGGTAGCATCATAAGCCT